TCCACAGGTTTATATTGCTGTAGCTGGACACTCATATGTAAGAAGCGTGAGTTCTGAGTCTTCAGGGTTGCCAACTCTCAAGCATCAGGCCTGACACTCACCCGTTCAGACTTTCACGCTCGTGCAAGAAATCTTAATTCGAATCTATATTATTCCATTATAGACCTAAGATAAATTACCTCACAAGCGCTGGGACAGTTTGCAAACCCTACAGACTATTTACGAGGTAATAAAACTGTTACATACGTGTAAATGTATGTGGATGTGTATGGAGTTCGTCTGGAATTGAAAATCTCACTCCAGCCAGCTGACCAAAGTTGGTGACTCTTGCTGAACGGTGAGAATGTGTCCGGCTGCCCCAAAGAAACCTTCCAGGCAATGTGTCAAAGGAGGTGTAAACCTGCAGAGCTGCTGGGCCGATGTACCAAGCGAAATGACGTCATGCTGGTGCTGGTGAACATGGGGAGGACTCACCTTCCTCCTCTCGCTCTCTGCCGCCGTGGGCTGATTCTCGCACCCCTTCCGGCAGCCCTCCTGTTCCAGCAGCTGAGTGTATGCCTCTTGGCAAGCTGCACGTGCACATAGAAGCAAAGATCCCCCATTACACCCCCCGCAGGTTCGCTGTGCAGACTGATGGAATGATTGGACCATTGACCCTCTGGTCAGCCCACACCATTCTAATCCCACTGTGCAGTCAGTTGCTAGTCAATCACCTGACAGTAAGTGACAGTTCTTAATTCAATATGCCCCACACAGCCCCTTTTCTTACCTCCCTGACATTCTTCCTTGCTGGCATTGGAACCCGCGTTGCCATTCACAAACTTACAGATGGAGTAGAGCCGGCAGCCACGGTTACAAGCGCTCAGTACGGAGTCCTGCAGATGACGAAACGAACAGCGCTTTGGACTAGTGGCCTGGTTACCAGTTAATGTTAATAAACACACATCGCTACCTGGTTATATTTTTTACATCGTTATATTTAAAACCATGTCTCCACTCATAAAAATGAAAATGTTTGCGATTAATCGTAATATTTACTGTCTGCGATTACTTTCCGCATCTTCATTACGATATTTTCGGAAACCAAACGGTATACATCATCATTATTACGCGTGAAGGAAATCATTTCTTCCAGCGCATATTACCAACCTTATTCATGCAAAATACAATTTAAGTATCACATCGTTTCTGTAAATTTCCCACTACGTCTGAATTGCAATCAGGACAGTGTTTAAATATTTTTTTCTGCTGCAGGATATTGCAGCTGCAGAACTGAAGAGCCATTTTAATTGCAAAGACTTCTGACAAATGACTGCAGCAAATGCACAATTTACAATACAAATAATGATCACGTCCAAGATTCAAGTTCATATTCTATTACAGCCGCCGCGCTCCTGGGAATAATCGATTTAAATCTAAATATTTTGTGGAGCTCTGCTGACCGCCGTCTAATGTTATCATTCGGACTGGGGTGTCATAATCTCGAAAGAAGCCAAATGACAAGCTTCCCATTTTTGACAAACAGGAAGTGGAAATAATGCAGAGGCAGGAAAATGGGCTAACGCAAAAAAAAAAAAAAAAAAAAATTCTGGTGGTCGGTGTGAGGCTATCGATTCCAAGCTTCCCAATGCCAGGACTAATAGCCTCTGTTTCGCGTTTTCGCAGTTAAACACTACCGATGGTTGCCAAAAGAACTGAAATCCGTTTGGTTTTGATAAATATATTAATGCTTATTAATAATACAGATTTAAGAACTGAACAAAAGGACCTCAGAGATTATGTCAAACGGAGAAACACCTCATACAGAAAGCTTCCTGTGCCATTTTCATCAAGCAGAGAACAAAAAATGCGTCATATAGCCCAAAAAAATTGGGATCAGTGCATGTCAGTGTCAATCGCGAGAAGTAGCGTCCGAATGCATTAACTGTCTACGCCAACATGCGTATGCTAATTGCTTTGATAAGGCAAATAATTTAGAAAGCAGCCTGTTTTAAGCATCTGATATTGCAAAGTAGGTTGCCTATACGCGATTAAAAATGGATACCTTCCATTATCAAATAGCTTGGAAAATGCACTAGTTACGTTTCAGCGCAATGAGACAGATTTTATTTATAACATACTAGACAGCATCACTAAGCGACTTGTCGTTTTTATCCACGTGAATGCAGAATATTTCATGGTGATCATGTGTCACTTACTTTAATGAAGCTTTTGTTTATGACGGTAGTCAGGCATTGCTTTTTGCAGTAACTGATGTCACCCAGCTGGTTGTCAAACGGATCGGAGGTCGCCCTCGCCAGCCCAGCCAGAAGCAGCGAGACAAGCGCGGTGGTAATGCAGACCCTGCCGCCGCACTGATGCATTGCGAAGCCGGATTTAGTGCCTACAGTAACAGCCAGCGAGAGCTCGGTGGGCTTGTGTGTCGGATCCTCTCCACTGGGGCGAACTGTGCTATAGGTCCGTGATGTCGTCACTCCCCAACCCCCTCCAGTTTACACTTACACACTCGTGCATTTTCTCCTCTCTCTCTCTCTCTCTCTCTCTCTCTCTCTCTCTCTCTCTGGCTTCAAAGGCGAAAGGCACGGGCTTGCAATTTTTGTAAGGATTGATAAGACTGGTAACCATCTCAAAAATGTAAATGTGCTTCGTAGTGAAGCACATTTATCTCTCTTATCTCCATTAAGCGCGTGACCGTCTCAAAGGGATAAAGGACCAGCAATGGGACACTGGTGAATTAGCAGTGACGTCTTCGAGCTTAAGTCGTTAAAACTCCTATAGAAAATAAACTGCAAAGGAACGCGAAAATTAGTGTTAGCTGGGGTGCTTAATGCGGAAAAGGACATGGAACACATCGTAAAGTAAATTATATACTTATACATAATATAAGAAAATCAAACAAACACTATATTTTCAATTATTCATAAAAACACTAGACTAGGCTATATAAAATAAGCGTAACAGCATACATACTGTATAAGCCTATTATACACTTAGTTTCCGCCAAACCTTTACTTTCAATGAAAAACATTTTTATTTAATTTTTGGAGAACAATTTTTGGAGAATCACAAAATCTATATACTTCTCGGGACCAATCAGTGTTTTAACTTTTCGCCAAAAAGCAGCACCGAAGCAGTGAGGACTATATATGGTCTCATGGTCTTTAGTATATTTTAAGGTGCATAACATTTGCAATAAATGTAATACTTGCACATTTTCTAAACCCCTTTCGTTTCATGTGAGAGTTTCAATGATATAATTGCCTGTTACATTAATCAGCTATTCTCTATCCGCTAATTGAAATGTGCCCCCCGGCATGTCTTTGTCACTGACTTGACAGATTAATAATCAGTAGCTCATAATAAATTGTATTAATTTTGAGAAAACATATTGTGATGATTATGTTGACAGAAGTATATTACATCAAGAAAATTTCTATAATAGTAATATTTGTTTATTACAAAAGTTGAAAACACACAATAAATTCATTTTTTAAAGTATTTTAGTGACGCATATAGGCTACATATGCGGTTCGACTTTGAATCTTCTTGATGGGATATTTCACTTGTAAATTAATCTTTGTATTTTTTGCCGGTCTTCATTTATGTCACTGTACAAGAAAAGACACGTGCTACTGTAAAACGAATCACAAAAGTGATTTTTGGAACGCCTGAGGGGCAGAAAACCTAGTCAAGGTCTAACTGCTAAACTTTTCGGTGAGTGGTCATTTTTACGACAAAAGTCAGTAAGTTGGATAACTGAACAAGGCACGAGTTTCAACAGCGCCGCGGAGCTGTAACAGGCGTCGTGGTTCAGGGCAATTTGAAAACGGATTGAGAACCTATACATTTTAAAATACATAGCCTACATGACACCACTGTTGCGCCAGGTAATTAGAATAATGCTGTTATGGCGGATATTCCATTTGTAAATTCATCCCAACTAGGGGATTTTAAATAGACAAGAAATACATGAGATAGCAGAACATCTGTCAGATTCAAATGTTAGAAATTAGAATGAGTGCAGATACAAACAAATGCAAATACAAAACGAATGATACGGAATATCCGAAATTAAAAGTGCTTTAGGAGAAAGTTTTTAAGTCGACTTAAAAGTTTTATAAGTATTACGCACTATAAGAAGAAGAAGGTGGCTGATGCGCGCATGAGGCCTATCGTTCCGCTTTACCTGGGGAAGTGATGTCAAAAGTGTGCAATGTGGTGAATCATCAGGTAACACCACAGATCCATCGAGAACTTGTTTCCAGTCTGTGCCGCGAGTCAAAACGTCAGCTTTTGATATTCAAGCTGAGCGTCGGCGCGTCTGATGTCTGCAACTACATTTTTATTCCATTAATGTTGATATTAACATTTGTAAGTCAACTTTTCTCATTATTATTCTGCATGAAATACACTAATCGAAAATTTCCCTATCTATTTTTACTAATATGATAAATACTAATAATGCTTCTTAAGTTAATACTGTTTGTTATATCATTGAAACTGTTATTTCCAAAGTTTTCCCGCGATAAGCTGAAAAGAAAGAAAAAGAAAAAATATATATATATGTATTGTATATTATTGTACAGTTTCTATATTTTTCCTACATTGACACAATGTGCTAAGATCATAACTTGTTCCCAAGAGGATTAGGCTGACTGGGGATTTGTCCATTCGCTCAGTTTTAATATGTGTGATATGTGTAGAAGACAGTATTTTACCGGCTCTAGAGGATCTATTACAAGTTCAAATGAAGCATATACCTGTATATGAAACCGAATGATTCTGTTTAACTTGAGAGGCAGACGTTTCACCCACCACATTGTCAAAATAAATACATCATAGTCTTCACTTGGATCTCCTCAAGTGTTCTCGTTGCCCAAGGCAAAGATTTTTTTTCAATTAATAATAAAAACAAGGAAAGCAGAATTACGCAATATTTTTTCTTTCTCCGAAAGAAGCTTGTCTGTCACCCTTCCCCAAGCCGCACAGGTTCCGCCAAATCTCCCGTGACTCATGAGCCCACTAGACTTGCAGCGAAAATGTTGGAGGATCGTGGAAAATGCCGCAGTCTTTGACGACGAAGCTTATACCGGCCGGAGAAGGACAGAAGAATGAGGGGGAAATAGAAAGGAGAAAAAGAAAAGAAAGAGGCAAAAAAAAAAGTCTAGCGACTGAGTGGGAAGACAAGGGAGGGGCTTGGAAAGTATCAACTTGTGTGTTTTAGCTAGCTGCTGAGGCGTGCTTTCACTGCACACCAAACCAACTGAATGGGACGGTTGTGAGATATATCAAGCCTATAATTAAGCCAAACAGGACAAATCTTCGGTAGGGGGCACACGTTTCTCTATAAATACCTTTACTCTTTGAAAGTGCCGGACAAACAGCAGTAGAAAAGGCTTCGGCACCTTTCGAGCGCTTCTTCTTTCCGTGCAAAACGCCCCTTACATACATCTGCGAAGGAGCACGAACGGAGGAGAGAGGAAAACTGAAAGAGCACAGAAGTTCCTTTAAATATGATTACGGTGCTGCTCCTTGTTCTGTACGTTCCTCGCGTGCTGTCTTCTGCGACACGTAAGTAGAAAAATAAAGGTCTTGCTTTGCCGAGTCCTCCTGTAAGCAACCTTGCGCTGTAATTGTGGCAATTTTTAATCAGACTTATTATTTCGAGTTACGTGGACGATCGTCCGCGGAGTCGCTCTTACACAAAGACGGAAGCCAACATCTCGTTGAAGCAGTCTGTGATGAAATGAAATTGCGAATTTAATACTAGCATATTAATAAAAATGCTTAAATTTCTCGTATAATGAAAGATTCATAGTAAAAGTAATAATACTGGAGGTGAACGCATAAAACAAGGAATTAATAATATGTTAAATCCTCATATATATTTCTAAATGTGTTTTACAAACTTAATAATAAACAGGGAGTTATACTTTGCGTACCTGAGAATCGGCGTGTTTTTGGGCTCTTGGTTGTGAGAAATGATATGTTTAGCACACAAGGTTAAAGCTGTTTGACCTGTAACAAAACATCCTTTAGCTGATTGGCATTATTTGGTTTTTTAATACTGTAAAACGGGCCCTTTAGCATAAACATAAGCTCAGACACACATGACTTTCTGAGACACGGTGATTTAGCTGTTTACAAGTAACGTAACCTTAACATCATTAGCTGAGTCTACATAAATCACAGGTGTTATTTGGAGTATATTTAAGAATTGGCTTTGGAAGGAGAGAGATTTGTTGTCATTAAAACAAATAGATTAAAATTATTAAAACGTGTCAACGTTTTCAATTAACGCAACAAGAAAATTCACATCTTTTCCATTCCTGCATACTTCACTTACATTCGCTTACACGCCATTTTAGTATAGCTTTGGCTTCGTTTAAAGGCTTAATTTTGTACATAATGTTTTAACATATGCCATAGAAACTTTTAAATATTTTTCAAAAGATCTTCAGGTTATAACCTTTATAAGAAAATACAAGGCCTAAATAATGATTACTTTAGCCTAGTTGAAACAAGATGAGAAAAAGTTTTTATGAGACCAGCTGTTCCATACGTGACTGTCAATATAATTAATGCTTTTTACCCACATCATATACATAGCATACTTTCAATATCAAAATATTAAAAGTTCACTGTGACAGCGATCGATAGTATTCCGCCCACCTACTATTTATAAAGGTACTCCATAAAACATAATAGTATGGCCTAAACATGAAATTAAACAAATACTATACTTATTAAGTAATCTAATGGAACAGTCCTGAAATTAATAAAATGCACATTGTTGAGTGGATACCCATAATAGCTAAATGAATAGGCCTATATATGCAATTTTATAGCATACAAATACCCACAACACAGAAAAATCAAATTTAGAAATTTGTCGTTTCCGATTAACGACAATATAAGATTCCCAACATATTTTTTGGCTCCGATTGTTCGAAAGAGTGTTACAGAGAATTGTGTAGCAGTGCGTTGGGCATTGAAACCCCATATTGGAAACGTTGACTCTTTAATATTTCAGACATCACTAGACCAGCGCTGATGTTTATGGTACTCAGTTTACAAAGGAATTCCTGGTTGGTGTCACTGATTATCTACTACTAACGTATGATTTGAAAGAGTGCGGCAATAGTTACTTTTGAAATCACTGTAGTTCTACTTTTTCTCAGCGTGGATCTCGGTATTTGGTCCATTCATGGGTGTCCTCACTAAAGCGGCCTGCGCATATTTTATGTCTTAAGTGCATTTGTCGTTCTTCATTGGACACCTATACTTATTCAGGTACTAGGTCAGCATTCCTGCTGCCTGAAGCTGGTGGTGTAGTGACTGGATCTTTTTATCCGACAGACGGATGGAAATCGAGGCTGGCTTGATCGCCAGGTGGGAGGAGAGCATCGGATAAATAGCCTACATGTAAACAAACACAAAGATTAGAGGCCTTTCTTACTTCCTGGCAGGCCGATAATGCAAATATAGATAATGAAAACAAGCCTACATTTTCTGTCGTTACAGCAGCATCGGCATCCTGCAATTACTGTAGAACACGTCATGTTTTCTGTTTTATTTGAGCGAAACCTTTATCACAGTGGTCGCCAACGCATTGCTCGTGAGCTACCAGCACCCAACGGGGAGCCGATGATCATCAGCTCGCAGAACACTTTTTAGAAAAAGGATCGAATATGCTAATTTAGTTTTTTCTTTTCTAATTTTGCTCATGCACGTGAACGCCGGGGTGCAAATCTCATCGGCTGTCACGCGCCCAAACCAAACAAAGACGGTATGGAGATGTGCTGCGGACTCGACATGAAAGGAGGAATATTAATCTAAGAATTAATCGACGACTTCTACTGTCGCCATCACCCCCCACCCCCCCGCCGGGTCAATAACTTTTAATGTCGCTTCGTAGCTCTCCTGATTATTTCCTTTGAAGAAGCAGCTCTCACTATAAATAAGGCTGGAGAGTCTGCTTTATGACCTTGGCCGTGGGATGATCTCTCTTCATTGAACGCCATTGTGTTTTATTACCCACTTCCTATTCAGACACCAGCCACATAACAGACATAAAGTAACAAATAAAGCTAATTGCCGCTTTCATGAGCGTATTTAGATTACAGCGCTGGTGTTTACGTTCCTGCGTCGTCGTCATCAGTAACCCGTGATGGTTCTTCTGGCTGTGACATTCAATTGCTCAACCTTTTCTCGTTTTGGTTGGCTGTACATAACAGGGTCTAGCAAAGACCGGGGCTTGTGCCTTCTGCGCTTTGGCAGCGTTCGTGATATTTTATAGTAGTGTACTTGTATCCCTGTCCTAATACAGATGTTATACATTATGCCAAGATGTTACTCATTATGACCAAAAACACACACTACAGACAGTAATAAATCTGAATACATCAGAAAGAGCGCTTTGTGATATGCTGAAACGTTTGACCTTATGCACCAAATAATTGAAGCGCCAGGCAAATAGGATACTATACACTCATATTTTATCGTATACAGGCCAAAAAAATTGAACGGCCTTCACTATGGAGGTCCAGTAAAGGACCGCTTCAATGAACTTCTGATAACCTGTGCCGCATAAGCGTGAATGCACCAGGATTAAATCACCTTTGGTGGTAGCTAGACCGCATACAGAAGGACAGCTGGTTTAGTTAAAGACTTGACGAATTCATTAGATGGATTTGGTGGGCTGGGGTGGGCCTGAGAGACTCTGTCAGGCAGACGGTGGCCTCTTGCAGGGACATGTGCTTGTATGACGGTGGCTGTTGTAGTCTCACAGCTGGAGCTCTGCTCCCCCCCCACCCCCATGTGTCCCGGCAAGGCCCCGCCTACCGCGTCCTGCTCCCCACATGTTGCGTTGTTTTTTCCCCCCTCCAAGAGTTTTTCATGAGCGCTGTTTGCTGTGGTGAAAACGGTGAAACTCTTTTCAGAGCCTTTCCCGTAAATCTCCGGCAGAGTCGCCGCATATGTGAGCCGCGATCCAATTACCTGCTTTGGCGCTGAAAGCCTGGGACCCACAATGCATCAGTTAGCGTTTTTGCTTTTAGGAGATGCTCTTTCTCATGTGAATGGCTAAAATTTGTACAAACTATTATTTATGACGAATCGAAATTCTTTATTTATTTATATACCCCAGCTAAGGAACTTACCATGATGGACAACAGCTGGGACTTGAACCAACACATTTCCTGTCTTGCTTCTTCATTTATAAACCCCGCCCCTCCCTTGTCAGGCGTACAAGACCTGGGAACCTGAATCGGTGACCCCTGTCTTACAGCTCACACGTGCCGGTCCTTAACCTTTGACCTGCGTTTATCAGTGCTGCCCATGCTTTCCCAGAGGCGGCGGCCATCTTCCCCCAGGACCCCGCTCTGCGCATCGGTTCCACGTTGACAGCCACCTGCTCGGTGAGCTCTGAGCTGGGCCTGCATGCCAGCCAGCTCTTCTGGACCCTGAACGGGCAGCGGCTGCCCAGCGGCGCCTACAGCGTGGCGGGGCCCACGGCGCTCACGGTCACCCTACCCCACCTCAGCGGCTCCCGACAGCCCTCCGGCGACAACCTGGTGTGCCACGGCGGTGGGGGGCACGTTCTGGCTGGTTCCTGCCTCTATGTGGGCAGTAAGTCTTGCCTGGCGGAGAGAAAGGGGGGCAGTGGGGTGTTGCACCAGGCCATCCTACATTTTACAGATCTGTCCAGTAGGGAAGGGGTTCCTAACCTTTTGGTGTCTGTGGACCAGCTTACAGCACGCAAAAATGTCAAATAATGTCTCAGACCGGCAAACCGGCTGAAGGGGTAGTGGTGGAACGATCGGCGATTTAATAAGTGTAACCGTTTGCATGTTTTTCAAATGCGAACAGAACACACCAATGTGAAGGGTTGTAAAAAACTGAAAATATATTGTTGATTTTTGGGAATTGGACCGGTACCAGTCCACAGACCCAGGGTCCGGAACTCCTACTGTAGTGGTTCTGAAACTCAGCATCAGGAATCTGTGACACTTTTTAAGTTTACACCTGACATACCAGGGAATCAGTCCTCAGCGTGACTGTTAGATAGGATTAGTAGATAGGAGCCCTGTGACTGGGGGGGGGGTGGCTTGAATTAGCAGGGAGGGGGCGTCGTACGTGTAAAAGAGAGGTGCACAAAGGAGCACCGGGCAGAGATGCACAGGGAAGAGTGCGTATGACGACAGGCAAACTTACAGGGTGACGCAGACGCGCGCAGGCAGACGCGCAGACGCACGCAGGCAGACGCGCAGGCAGCCCGAGGCACAGGGAGGGGACAAGGTCTGTACAAAGCGCAACAAAAAAAAAGGAATCTCAGGGTGGTTTCACCCGATGGCAGGGGGGCAGAGGCAGGAAGGGGGCAGGAAGGGGGCAGGAAGGGGGGAGGAAGGGGGCAGGCGCGGCGGCCCCAGCGTTCGGCACGGCTGAGTGCCTCCTGGAATCCCTCCAGAAATTAAGTGGGCATGACAGCAAGGGAAAAAATGAAGTTTGAAGCACTTGGAAGTCAAGACATTATTTTCAGTCTAAATTCGGTGTCGCCTCACCAGCACTCGACTTGTATGGTCAGGCAGCGTCTCTTGAAGATTAACCCTTTGAACCAGGGACTGTTTACATGGGTTGTTCCAGCTGTCCTCCGCTTTAATCTGGACAGTTTATCATTCAGTTAATTTGCCTAATACCCTGAAACACATATGGCTATTTCTGTTTGAATGTAATACTGTAAGTTCAAAGAACAAAGGGTAACACTTTACTTAGAGCAGTCATATATAATGCATTATAGATACCTTCATAATGCATTATAGATACCTTCATAATGCACTGAAATTACGAATGTTCTTTATAGTTCTTTATAGTGTAATACACTATCGGTACCCTCATAATGCATTATAATGATTAGTATAAGCTGTTATAATGCATTATGAAGGAATCAATAGTGCATTATTCATGGCGTCTTCATAGAGCATTCATAATGCATAATAAATATGGTTGTAATGTGTTATGCCTTTTTATAATTAGTTATAGCCATGCTTATAATACTTTATGAATGCACTTTAATGCATTATGACGGTATCTATAATGCATTATGATGACTGCTTTAGTGTCACCGAACAATGTTTAGGAAAACAACACAAAAGCAGGACATAATGTAACCCCCCCCCCCCCCTTTGTGTCCCCAGTGCCCCCCGAGAAACCAGTGAACCTAACCTGCTGGTCCCGAAACACAAAGGACCTCACCTGTAAGTGGGCCCCCGGTGGACAGGGGGAGGCCTTTATAAGGACCGAATACAGACTGAAGTACCGGCTCAGGTAGGGTTCTCAGCTTCTGCTGATGAGTGCTGCTCTGTGGTTCTGGAAAGGCTTGCATTTCAGTTTGATGTAAAAGGCAAAATTTCCATTCACGCATCATCAGGTTTTGAAGTTATCCCTGATGCGGCTTAACCTCCGCTTCCGGAATAGGGAATGATGGTAACCATGGAAACCGCAGTGTTGGGTCCATCATGGGATTCTGTGGGTGATGCACAGGTGGTACGGCCGGGAGAAAGAGTGCGAACACTACAGTATGGGACAGCTGTACAGCTGCTACATCCCCCGAGACTTGGCGCTCTTCACCCCCTACGAAATCTGGGTGGAGGCTTCCAACCAGCTGGGAACGGCCACCTCTGACATCATCACCCTGGACATCCTCGACGTGGGTGAGTTGGAGAATTTTGTTTGGAGCACAGCCGCGTGATTCTGGGTGCTGGGAACAGGGGGTGGATAAAAAATTGTAGTGCCCCCTCCAGAAGGACCAAACAGTGCTTAGGACAAATTCCTCTTGTAATGGTTGGCAGGACCATCCTTCCGATTGGATGAACTCATCCACACCCCCAACGCCCGATAATCCAAACACCACAGAAATCCTTCAAGCGTGACTAGTTAAAGATTACAGCTCAGGCTATCAGAGAGGCTGGGGAAGTATGGGATTGGCCTACAATATCCCATTCTCTACTGGTCTCGCATCTAAACACATATTAATAGCTACGAAATATCCAAATGAAGCGATTTTATCCATTCTGCCAGGGGAGTTAACAGCACCACTGGGGCCAAATGGATGGGTGGGGGGGCATCATGAAGTTTGAGTCCCGTCACTTTTGGTTGTAGCCTGAAGTGTTAGAGAAGAAGGAATGACTGAAAGAGAGGAGGTAAAGGCCGAAACGTGCCTCACGCTGAGGATGCCGGGGGCGTTACGCAACCCTTCCGCTTCATTCTTTCGCCTTCCCTGGCTACGGAAATGTTAATTTCCAGAATTCATTCATGATTAGCTCAGGGCGAAATGGCCAAAACCGGCGTGCATTCCGGGAATGGAAACAGGACATTAAGGCATATATTCCAGCAAGTCGAACCGGCCCGTGTTGAAATGTTTATTTGAGGATCTCTTGACCGGTTGCATTAAAGTACTTAGCCCATTTGCAAATGGTGAGAATGTTTTTTTTTTTTCAAATCTACAATTGCCCGGCTATAAACAGTGAGCGGACTGGTAGTTTTAACAGACGCTAAGATGAGTTGCCCTGCATTCCCAGTGGATGGATTGGTAAACATCGAGGAGGGAGCGTGGGGGTGGAGATGGGAGCGTGGCGGGTGAGAGTGGAGATGAACCACATGAGGATCAACACTAGTCACCGATTCAGACTCAACATTCAGCCTTGTGTTTAATTCGGGGATAATAGCTGTGTGTCCGTAGCGTAGCAGCCATTAAAGGGGAGTGGTGGTATTGGCTTTGACGAACAGGTCGAGCCAGGAGGAGATTGCGTTTACGTATATACACCCCCGCTGAGGGGGGGAGCTATCCAGGCAAGTTAGAAATCCAACAAAAATGCCGTCTCTTGGGTGATGCATCCTTCAACGAAAGAAAAACAGAAAGTACTCGTGTTTAGCGATACCCACGCAAATCTGTCTGATGTTATTGTGCTGGGAGTTTGACTATCTCCCCCAGTTTCTTGTTGTGGCGTAACGTGGGTTTTGTTTAAAACAGCGAACCAGCAATGGTGCAGACGCTGAGAGTCAAAGTAACCACTTTTGAGCATCTGTGTTTGGAATCTCACGCGAGAAACAAATGAGGTTTCCATCGGATCAAAGATGTCAGACACCGTACGTCACAGGCCTGTAGGTCACAATGCATTTTAATCAGTCTTGATTTGCACTAGGGATAGTGATTTCACTGTTCCAAAGGTTGTTTCAAAGGCAGTTTGGTGGCCCGGTGGGTAGTGCTGTTCCTACACAGAACCAGGGTTTTGGCTATGTGGAGATTGCATGTTCTCCTAGTGACACCCAGATTTCTTCTGAATATTGCCCATTCTATAGCCCAACGACATGCAGTTAGGTTAATTATTGTGTATATATTTCCCATAGCATGTGAATGCGTGTGTGCCTTTATGTGACCTGCACTTGAGCCCAGACTCTGCTGTCTTGGACAAACTCCAGCCACGAGACCCCAACCAGGATTCAAGATTTTTTATTTGCCTTTTGTACATCATTACATAGGAATTCTTACTTACGCCATCCAATCGGGAACAAGTAAGTGTGTCTGAATTAGACAGCAAAAAAACAGAAGAAAGGCACTCACAAAAGTAGACGTGTAATTGCAGAGGTACGTATTTCATAGGGGGTAGACGCTGGTCTGAAACCAGCCGTTGGCAGTCCTACCTTCAGCTGAACCTCAGTTTGGAGAGTAGTCTGTGTCCGGGGTGAGTCGGGGTCACGCAGGACTGCGTGAGTCTTGATTAGATGATGGATAGATTGATGGATGGATGGACTTACAGAGGGTTTTTTCAAGGGCAGCATAGTCGCACAGTGGGTTGAATCCCGCCTCTATGACTTTGTCTGTGCGTGTTTTTCCTGTGTTTGTGTTGGTTGCCTCTGGTTACCCCGGTTTCTTCCCACAGTCCAAAGGCATGAGTTCGGGTCAACTGGAATGTCTAGATTGTCAGTACGGTGTATGCGTGTACTTTGAGACAACCTGGCATCCCAGCCAGGGTTTTTTCTTGCCTTGAGGCCCGTGCTTCCTGGGATTGGCTACAAGCTGACTCAGACTAAGTTACATATTTGACACATTTCCCCAAAGTGATTTCCAGTAAAGGTAGGGTTACCATATTTGGTGAGGCGAAAAAGAGGATGTGTTCGGGGAACCGAATATTAATGAGTTTTCACTTTCACCAACCAATCAGATACAGCATCTCTCATGAATATTAATGTTTTTTCTCTAACCACCCTGTAAAACGAAAATTTGCATCCTGTACCCATACAGTTGACTGTCGTTTTACAATCGACGCACAATTGACGCACAATCGACGCACAATCGACGCACAATTGACGCACAATCGACGCACAATTGACGCAACGCACGTGTTTGCAAGTCTTTTTCAACAAAAGTTACAAAACGCTAAGCTAAAGCTTGTTAAACTTCAAGCAAACGACACAATTCACTGCTCACATGAAAGCAAAAATAAAGTGTCAAAATGCCAACGGTTTCTGGAATTTGACGTCACTCGTGGGCAACGTGACACGTAGGGGTGTTGATAGCGTTTAGATTTTCAAGTTAAACGCGCGCATGAGCTTTGCAAACGCTGCGAGATCATCCTGAGTGGCTGCTGTATGTCGGAAATTGGTGCCTTTTCCTTCCTTCCTCGGTGCTCCACTGTAACTTGCAGCACCGGGTCATACGGGTTTGCAGCCCTAAAGCCGGACAAAGCGCCGATTTATGAAAAACCACCTGGATGGGGACCCAAAAAGAGAACGTGTCCAGGGAGACCCGGACGTATGGGAACCTTAAATAGAGAGAAGGGTTCTAATGTACGTGTGCTCCCAGGGATTCAAACCCACAACCACTGCATTGCAAGACACTGAACCCCAAATTGCTCCCGGTGTGCAGGTTGGCGCCTTGCATGGTAGCCCCCACCACCGGTGTGTGAATGAGAGCGTGATTGAGTGAATGTGAGGCATGAGTTGTAAAGCGCTTTGAGTGCTTGTCGGAGTAGAAAAGCGCTATATAAATGCAGTCCATTTACCATTTACTTCAATACAAGCATTGTGCTATACTGTGGCCTCTGCTGTCACCTAGAGATGATATCTGAGGGTCACAGTGTCACACCGGTCACACTCAGCTGTGCCGCTGCTCCATGCCCATGTCGAAAGGTGCATGTCTGTGTTTTTGTCCACCGCAGTGACCACAGACCCCCCCGTAGATGTCCAGGTCAGTCGGGTGGGGGAGCTGGACGACCAGCTGAGCGTACGATGGAGTAACCCCCCTGCCCTGAAGGACTTCCTCTTCCAGGCCAAGTACCAGATCCGCTACCGGCTGGAGGACAGTGCAGACTGGAAGGTAGGCCTGGCCTGCAAACCAGCACTCTACATATATTTTATGCATTTCTCAGTCACTAAACTTTTTGTGTGGAAAAGTTTGCAACAGTTTTGTACACAATATAGAGAAAAGTATTGGGACCCCTGGCCATTACACCTACAGGAACTTTTATGACGTCCCATTCTAAATCCATAGGCATCAAAGTGGAGTTGGCCCCCCCTTTGCAGCTATAACTGCTGCCATTCTTCTAGGAAGGCTTTCCATAAGATTTTGGAGTGTATCTGACACACAGACTCACATTGGCGGTGCCCATCCAACACGGGGCACAGACACACAGACACACAGACTCACATTGGCGGTGCCCATCCAACACGGGGCACAGACACACAGACACACAGACTCACATTGGCGGTGCCCATCCAACA